AAAAAATGCTCCCCCCTTTTTTTTAAAAAAAAAAAAAAAAAAAAAAAACAGAAAAAAAAGAGTGTGTGTTTTTTTTTTCCTAAGATGTGGGCTGCTTATTTATGTAGCCAGGAAGAGGTCTCCGCTTCCACTGTTGCGGTCCCGGGGCTGTTTTGACAGTTGGAGGGCGCGGAGGCTTCGCCTGCTCTCGCGCTCGCGCGCGGACCCGCAGCGCCGGGAGGGGGAAGGCGACAGCGTGGATTTACGATCCCTGTAGTCGCGGGCGGGCGGCTCCGCTCGGCTCCGCTCCGTACCTTGGAGTGGAGCTCGCGCCGCTGAGGAGCGTTGGGCCAGCCATGTTGCCAGCCATGAGGCGGCAGCTCGGCCGCGCCACGAGCCGCCCCCGCGGGAGCGTGGCGGGACGGTGCTGAGGGATGAGCGCTCCTCCTGCCTCCTGAGGGATGAGCGCTCCTCCTGCCTCCTGAGGGATGAGCCCTCCTGCCCGCTGAGGGATGAGCGCTCCTCCTGCCTGCTCAGGGATGAGCCCTCCTGCCCACTGAGGGGTGAGCGCTCCTGCTTGCTGAGGGATGAGCCCTCCTGCCTCCTGAGGGATGAGCCCTCCTGCTTGCTGAGGGATGAGCCCTCCTGCCTCCTGAGGGATGAGCGCTCCTCCTGCTCGCTGAGGGATGAGCGCTCCTCCCGCCTGAAGCCCCCGTGGCCGCCCCGCTGGAGCCCAAGCGCGGCCGGCGGCACGGAGCTCCCCGCCGAGCGGCCATGCCCGTGCTCGGGGTGGCCTCCAAGCTGCGGCCGCCGGCCGGGGGCTCCAGGCCGGTGCACAGCGCCCGGCCCATGCCCGTGGCGAGCCTGAGCGCGCCGGCCCGGGCGCTGGAGCTGGCGGGCGCCCACGGCTCCGTGCTCTCCTGCCAGCTGGCGCTCAGCTCCACCTGCGACTTCGCCGAGCCAGGAGCCCTGCCGCGCAAGACCCAGGAGGTGGAGGACAGCAAGGTGAGTGACTTGCTTCTCAACAGGGCTCATTTGCCAAGAAAAAAAAAATATATATATATATATATATATATATGTAAAACATCTGCTAGTAAGTTGCTGAATGGGGTGTAAATGGAGTGTGACTGGGTGAATAACAATTTATTTATTTCTGTCGCCCTCTGATTTGGCTCTGCTCAGCGTGGCCGTGTGAATAACCGAGCTGGGTCTGGACGTTGGCGTGACGGTGCTGGCGGGAGCGTTTTGATAAGGATCACTAGACCCACACGTAGGAAAGCGAAAAGCTTCCCGGCTCCCAAGAAGCTGAGCAGGGACATGACAGCACTTAAAAAAACCACTATCTTGGCTGCTTCATGAGATATTATGGAGTTTTAAAAGAGCTCTCACGCCCACACCTATTCCCACGGGGAGGTTCTTTTGAAATAAAAACAACTAATTATTTTTTTCTTTTCACTTTTCCAACGTTCTGGCTGTGCTTGCTGCACAACTGCTGAACCAGAAAAGCAGCTCCTCAATGAAAAGTACCTGTGTTTTTATTTTCTCTTTGGCAAAGCAACTTCTTCCTGCTCCCCACCCCCAAGCTGTGATTCAGTGTGATTGCTTTATTTTAAGTTTGCCTGAAGCAGGATGCCATCATTTTTTCAGACTGCTTTGGGGTTTTATTTTTCCTTCTGTTATGGGGTCTTCCTTTTGAGCCTTACCTGCTAATTGAGGCGCTCAAGCCCAGGTTTCTGCCCGTCTTCTTGCTGCAGCCGAACACACTTCCCAGGCTGGAGCGTGAGTATTCCTGTCAGCGGATGGTGTTTCCGTAGCTCTTGCAGTGCGTTACGGCCACATATGTGGTTTAACCACTTCAGCACGCAGTGTTACGTGAAGTTGCTTTCCTTTGCTCTTCTAGGGCTTTTGCTTTGTGGAAGTTATTGCTGTGCTGTGATTAAACATAGAGTTGTCGTTGCTTCGTGTTCAGTTTAAGGACACTTGAGTGTCATCAGGGCTGTTCCAGTGGCAAGATGTGCATAATATATGGACTTGGTTGTCTGTTGCCTTTAGTCGCTGGGTTAGCTCAGTATCAGTGAGGAAAGCTGGTTTTGTGGTTGAAGGAGAGGGTTGGGATCCTCAACATTTGGTTTGCTTTTTAAACCCGACCACATATTTCCCATGGGATTTTGGTCATGTCATTTGCTTAATCTTGCTTTTGGAGTTTTCTGTATCACCTCTCCCTGTTTTCCACGAGATGATGCAGTGGTGCCCTCAGCGAGGCTGTGCAGAAGCACAAGGAGTGAGCAGACTGCTCATCTCTTGCTTACCACAGGAGATGAGCAGCCCTTTCCTATGACATGAGTGCAATTAAATACAATAATAAAACTTTAGACCACAGTGCAAGAAAAGCACGTTGGATACCTACAATCGTAATACATTCCTGCTAAGTTGCTTTTTAAGCATAGAAGATATTCTTAATGCTGTGCTTTAATGGATACTACGTGAAAAGTGTTTGAGTTTTGCAATTACTACTTTCAGAAAAAGAGAATTCGGGTTACAGTGCCCCCTCAGAGACAGGCAGTGCATCTTGCTTCAGCAGCTAAACCACTCAGGAACTGTTAGTGCTTCGTATGAAACCTAGTGGGAATCAGTTCATCTCACATGGTGCGTATCCTTCCACTTATAGCACTCCTGAGGTCCCAGTAAATCATGGAACAGGTGAACACAAACAGGACTGAGCTTGGCATTGCATGCTTCATGGTTCTGGCAGTACTTCTAATCTCAGGGACTGCTTTTAAGGAAAAAAAGTACCAATTAGCTATTCTGTTCTCAGCGGAAACAGCCGAGCTCTTTCAAAGGTGTTTCTTCAACATTAAGGCCAGTGTGTGCACGTGATGCCCTGAAAACCTCATCTGGCATCCTGAATAAATAAGTCCTAGTGGATTAACAGAAGTCCTTAGCAGCAAAAAACTTAGCAATTTCTGAAAGTGCCCATTACAAATCTCACATTCCCAGTAAAGTTTAATGGTTGTTCTTTGCCCAGGTTTCTTCCAGACATTCTTCTGAGGAATGATCTTCTAGTCACCTTTTAAGAAAGTTCAATGAAATCCTTTTGCTAGTGTAGCTTGGGTTATAAAGCACATGGATATGACTGAAAAATCTTTTTTTTTTTTTAATTTTTTTTTGTTTTGTTGCCAACAAACTTCAAAATACCTACCTAGAACTACTGAACGAAGTTTTCCTTCATCCCTAATGGAGATCCATCCCTCTCTGTTTGCCAGCATCTGGTAGCCGCCTCAGTAATATGTAGTAATTATATAAGGTGCAGCTCTAAGCACAGGCTTTGTTTTTTTTTTCAGGGAGTTAATGTCCCTTCAGATTTGCTGACCAGATGCAAATTCAGCATCACACATCACCCTGCCCCAGAGCGTGACCTCTTGTGAATGCTGCCTTCAGTGGAACTTCTGTTGAATTTTTGTTTTTTGGATAGCAAAAGTATTCATCAAATATGATTAATATTGATATTCCTACGTGGCTTGGTGGTGTATGATGCTGTATGTCAGGACTGTTATCATTATAGCTGCAACCAGATAAATGTCCTTGAATCAAAACCTAATGAATACCTAGTCAGAGTTTCCAAATGAGAGTGAAATCTGCCTCTATGGTACAGTGCTTGCATGTTTATGCTATATGACTGTGTATACGGCAGCTCTTAGTTTTGAGGGAAAAATGATTAATTTATATCTGCAAAACACAATGGAACATATGAGCTATTCATGTGGTTAGCATTCGCCCTTGGCTGCTGCATTACAGGCTTTAACTTTTGCTTTCTTTGGTATTTTACATATGCTGCACTGTGTATCACCAGCTTTCCCATCCTGCCTGGAAGGTCCCGAGATGGACACACTCTGTGACACGTCCTGTAGCTATCTGTACGGGTGGAGGGGTCCAAGATAAATTTGGATCAGATGTGTCAATGCAGTAGGTCATGGCCACCCAGCTGCTTCCTCTATGGCCTTCGGTTTCACTACACCTGATTGTTGGGGACTTCTGACACCAGAGCTGGCTCTCTCACACATTCCACACTGCCAGGGCTGGCCAGGGATACAGCTGCAAAAATCAGGGCTCGTTTCCCTAGATGCTTCCCCCCCGTCCCCAACATGATTTTCTGTGCTTGCACATGCACTCTTAAGAAATATTGTGTTTTAATAAAAACAGTGGCAGGGTAAGTTTGTGAGGTGTTATGAGGGGATATTATTAACATGTATAAGTTCATGGAGGGAGAACGTAGGGAGGAAGGGGCCAAGCTCTTCTCAGCAGTGCCCAGTGACAGGACAAGGGGTAATGGGTGCAAATTGCAACACAGGCAGTTCCATCTCCACGTGAGGAGGAACTTCTTCCCTGTGAGGGTGCCAGAGCCCTGGCACAGGCTGCCCAGGGAGGCTGTGGAGTCTCCTTCTCTGGAGATCTTCCCAACCTGCCTGGATGCCGCCCTGTGCCCCGTGCTCTGGGTGTCCCTGCTGGAGCAGGGAGTTGGACTGGATGATCTCCAGAGGTCCCTTCCAACCCCAACCATTCTGGGATTCTGTATTTATATTCAGCCTTTTTTTTTTACTTCATTGAATAGAACATAGTTAAACTTAGGAAAAAAAAATAGTAAGTATATAATTTAGTCATTCAATTATTAATGATTTAAGTCATTCTATGTGTGGTTTATTCCAATACACTTTGTTCACAAATGCTGATCTGTTGGTTGGGTATTCTCTTAATTTGTATGTCAGTACCTAATTCACATACAGATCCATCTGCTTTCTTGCTTGGCCCACGGATATTTAAACTGACTGCACAAACACTTATGATGTGAATAGTCATGCAAAATATTTGAACGCAGGCCTTCAGAGCACATTCTTCTTCCCTGAGTATCATATAGACAAAAGTTTATTCCTATATATGTACACAGGAAAGGAATCCAGCTGCTGGATTCAGGAGGTGAAATGCTTGCTCTCCTTGGAACAGACAGTTTCGCTATTCAGCGGGGCCACAGTTTGGTTTTATCCAAACCCATGCCTGAAAATGCCATTGTCTTCTGAAGCATTTATCTAACTGGGGGTATAGTATAATTTACACTCCTGTGCCACTGGATTGTATTCCTGATTTTGTATTCCGTGCTAAATTAATGAGAGCAAAATGCTCAGATTAGGGTAGGCTGTCCTGTGTTATGGAACCAAAAAAAGCTATCAAGTGATCCTCTAAAATCCAAATTCATTGCTAGTTAAGCAATGGATCTAAATAGATGTAAATCCATTGCTATCTAAGCAATGGATTAAAACTGAAGGAATGTAGGAAGAATTAATTTGCCAGAACAATTTTTGGGCCCCAGAGAGATAGCTGTCTGCACTGCAGTGACTCGACTGCTCCTGGCCGGCCCCTTTGCCTGTTCCCAAGGCCTTCCCAAGGCTTTTCCTCCCATCACCAAACTCATCTTCAGCATCACTTACGCTTGCAAACAGAGTCTCCGAGCTGAATCTGATATATTAATTTTACCCTTTTGGGTATCTGCCTCCAATGATACGATTTGAGCCTTCTTTCCTGAGTTCATTCATTCCTGTACTGTCATATTATCTTCTTTTTTCTCTTCTTTTTTTTTCAGTTTCTCTTTGTCCATGCTATCTGCCTCCTGCTGTCTGCTTTATCTGCCTCTTCCTTCCTGTTGGCAGACATGCTTACAGGCCTCTGCCTATGACTAATTTTTCTCTGTATCCACTAATCAGGTCTTTCTGTCATGACTGAAACTTTTTTTCATATCATTATTCCTTACTGGAAAGTGTTAGTCAGGCCCTACGAGCTGATTCAGTCTATGTATCTCTAAATGCTGCGATTTTTAGGGTTTACATTAAAATTCTTCTAAGACACAAGTACTGGCCTCCAGAGGAGGCCTGGGTCGTAATCTGATTTCTCTTGGAAAGGTCCAGCCCCACCRAGTTCGTCATTAAGCAGCCTAATTTGAGCAAGAAGGATCTCAG